GATTCCTGCAGCTCGCTGCCAGCTGTCTTCTCAGACGTTTTGGGGGTAGGCAGGGGACTGTGGGAGCACCCTCAAGGCTGTGGGCAGGAGGGAAGGAAGCAAAGATGCAGCTGCAGGCAGTGGGCTCTGAGCTGGAGCAGTGCGGCCGGGCACTGTACAGCTCCCAGTCTGGGCACACAGAGCAAATTTGTCCAGCTGAGGGCTGCAGGGCTGTCCTTATCAAGCACTCCCCCATCCCACAGGTCTGCAGCGACTGCACCAGTTGCTCGAGCTCTTCCCACTACAGGAGCTCAGAACTGACAAGAACCCTGACCAAAGCAGGTAATGGCAACATATGCACACAGATACACACCTGATACAGAATCTGGCACTTGACAGTCCTCCCAGAGCTTCTTGCTGCTTTTTAGGCTGCTCTACAGCTATTCTGTCCTTTTCCCCCTCCTTCCCCTATGTCTTGCCCTTTCCTTCGCCCTGTGCGTTCCCCATTTCTTTTTCAGGCTTTCTCCTTTCTTTCCTCACTTCCTTCCCTGTGACGACCCCATGTTCTGCTGCTGTTCTCAGCTGATGATCCTTAAACTGCACTTTTCAAAGACATGGGATCAGGCTGCATACTATCACTGACTTAAAAAAAAAACACACAAAAAAACAAAACAAAAAACAAAACAAAACAAAACAAAACAAAAACAAGTGCAGTATTATGTATAGATAACGAACTCCTGCTTGAAAACCAATAGCATCTCCACATCCTGCAGTGTCACCATCACCCCCAGGTTGGGCTGGTGCTGCTCATCTGCCCTGCAGTGCTGCTCAAATGGCACCGGCACCTCCTGGCACGGCCTGCCACCTCCCTGTGTCACCTCTACGTGTCACCTCATCTCACCTCTGCAGTTCTGACCGCACACCTCCACCCCATGTCCCCCCATGTCCTCACATGTCCCTGTGTCCCCACACATCCCCTCATGTCTCAAGTCCCCCCACATCCCCTGCCCTAATTCAGTCCATGCTGATGTCACCATGGGATTGAGGACGGGGGCAGGGATGCCTGTGGGGTGCATGGAGTCCTGGAACAGGTTGATGGCTGTGCACAGGGGGGTGACGGTGCCCTCGGTGCACGGCTGTGACAGGGGGGTGTGAGTCATTGCCCCCAACATGGGGCTTGTGCCCCACGCATATGGGCAAGTTGTATGGGGAGTGCTTTCTGGAGATGATCTGTCTTTTCTCCAAATCTGCAGCGACTTCAGCAATCCCGCGTCGTACCGCAGCAGAAATGGGGCACTGCCGTACGTCAGCGATCTCTGACTCAAGCACAGGGGCTGCACAAAGGACACACGCTGCAGCCTCCCTGTTTCTGTGGGGTTTGGGATTGATGTTTGAGCCAAAAGGCCTCATGGTGCCATACAGGCAGGTGCTGGGTTCACCCACTGAGGACGCCAAATCCTAAAATAATGTCACAGCGGTCTTTAATTGCTGTGCGAGGAGATGACGCGCATTTCTCCCTGGGGAGCTGTAAGCTGACTCCACAGTGTGGCAGACAGCACCAAAAAGGGATGCCATCCTGTACTTTCCTACCCTAGTAACTCCTGGTTCTGCTGGTGCACCTCTTGTACCTGGAGCTGGCTCTCCATCTGGCTGAGACGTCATCTTTAACACTTCAAAACAAGCCTAAGGAGAAAAGATTTTGGTGATGTGACATGAAAACAGACAGCACAAATATAGACCAGGATGACAGAAGATGTGCACGCTGGGTGTTGAATATCATTTGGAAACCAAACCACAGGTGAGAAGTCTTGTTTTACTTGGTTCATTTTTGCTAATCTCCCAGAGGATCAGGAGGTCAGTAGATGTAAACTAGAGATGCATCACAGGGATATTCAATCAAGGTGATGCAACACATATCGAATTGTTTTTTCATAATTACAATGACTACTAGATATTAACATGAGAGTGACACTCTTCCTAGCTTAATATATGTTAACGCTGAATTTGAAACCGGCATACTAATAAATAGGGCTTCTGAAAGAGGCGTGTTCATAAAACCACGCTTTTGTCTACTTGTTTTTCATTGTAATATCAATATATTGAAACATTTGCACAGGGTCAAGTAATTGTGAGGGGATAAAACAGCACATGAGGTTATAATTACTATGTTAGGTAAAGCAGAGCATTATCAGTCTTCATTGTTGATTTTTTTTTTTCTTTCCTTCCAGTTACTTGACAGTCCAGGAAATTTTTCACAGCTGAGCCATTGTGTTTTCTTCAGAAGTTAGAAATAAGATTGGCAGATTCATGTCCGTATTCACCCACGCAGCAAAGTACGGGAAGAACTGCATTATTTCATCCCACTCTTCAGTGAGTTTCTATTATTTACCATGTAAGAACAATTTCTTTGTAATGCCTCCCTTGTAGAAAAATGACGTGTTTATCTTCATTGCCAACCCTTGATTTCCAGTGCATGTTCAAAATAGTTGATGGGTGAAGGAATGCTGGCTGGTTTTACGCTAAGAAAAAAGCTTCCACAAGTTCACATCCAGTACAGTGAGTACACTTTTATTTTTGCTAGATGGTCTGCTGGTTTCTCCAGTCTTCTTATGTAACACGAGGGAACATTTTGTTTGAATTTCTGTAACTGCCTATTTTCTGTGTTCAGAGGAGTAGATTCCCTTACATATGGGGTATTTTTAACTGGGTAATGTAACTCAGAGTAATAACACATAAAAACAATCTTCTGTGTTGGCTGTTTGAAAGAAAGCTGTTTGTTCATTAGATATGTTAGAAACATAATAATCCCATTTGGTAGTTAGTTTTTCATCAGACTGTGAAGTTCCAAGTAGAAAATAGCACTGAAGTTCAATTGCACGTTGTAAGCAAGTTTT